TTCGGGCAAGAAGCGCAAGCTTCGCAAGTACGACTTTGCGGAGCGATTGGATGCCTCTCGCCCGGCGCGTGTCGGTGCATGGAGGTCAGAAATGCTTTGGGGCAAGGGCTTACAGCAGCTGTGCAAGCGGTTGGCCGCCCTCATCGACGAGGTGCGTACCGACCACCCAGCTGCCACCATCATCCCGATGATTTACTGGAATGGCAACGAGCTCGTCGGGAAGGACGGCCTCGAGCCCACGGGTACATATCCTTATGATACCCCCACCGGCGATGCAGAGCAACTTCTCGCTGACTCCAAACGGCACCTGGCTTGGACCAGGGATTTCGCGGCCCGCAAGGGCTGCGCATGCCTTGGAGTCATGACCGGCGCGAAGAGCTACCTCTACGGCTTTTCTATGATTTGGGACCGTTTCATGACGGAAGTCCGGGATTACATCATCGGCGACCCCAATCAAATGTTTGTGTACGTGGATGCTACACCCTTTGTCGAGACCATCGATTTGCTGGACAGGTATCATATGTGCTTCAGTGACGACAACATCACGAAGACCGTCCAGTTCATGCGCGGAACCCATCACATGTTGTATATGCTTTCCATCTTGCGCCCCGCAATGGGCAGCGTAGCCGAGCTGACACGTTCGCATGATTGCACCACGCGTCCGATCGATGTGCTCGAGGTGCGCCACCAAGAGGATTGCACAGTCAACGTTGAGGTTCTCGCGTACTGCAAGGAAACGCTAACGAAGTGCGGTGTTTCTTTGTCAGAGATGATCGGGCTCCCTTTCACCCGTGAAGAAGTGGAGGTCCGGCAGCCCCTCGATTTCGCCCCCGTCAACCCAGCCGAGTTTGCAACTTCAGGTGAGCCTTCCGGTGCAGATGTTTCCGAAAGTGTTCGCCCGGCGCAAGCCGGTGCAAAGGCGGCTGCGGTGGCACAGAGGGACGAGGCGGCAAGCAGACCGGTACCGCTCGACTCCTACGGGAGGAACGTGACTGGAGGCCACTACGACTGCTGGGTGTATAGTATCCACGATGGCGTGAAATATGTCGACTACGGTGAGGGCCCCAAGAGACTCGACATCATCAAGCAGCCCTCTTTTGATTACGACCCTTCTGTCAGGAGAATCAGCAATGAGTACCACAGTTCCCTGACGTGCATCTCCAAGATCCTCCGTGGTCGTGGAACAGAAGGATGCGGGTACGTGATGGATGAGGACGGCTACATGGACCTCGAAGACCTGGGACTCGCGCTTCGCAAGGAGCTGCGACATCCCATTCCATGGAATATTCAGAATATCATGGACATCTTCAAGCTGGACAAAAAGCAGAGGTTCATTGCGCTTGGTTGCCCGGACGCAGGCCGGTGCGGAGACGTCCCATGTTCGCATTGGCTTTTCAAGATAAAGGCCTCTCAAGGACATGAGGACTGGCTCCAAATCGACGACTCCGGCATCGCGAAGGAGTGGTACGTGAACCCGGGGACTGACCTCGGGCGCTGGTCTGGCTGGAACGTCTGCAGCAACCCTCCTACGGTGCTCTATCATCGCACCGATAAGCGGAACTTCGCCAGCATAATGCGAAACGGACTGCTTCCAGGAGGAGGGGACCAGCACGAGACAGGCAGACCTCACGTTTTCTTCGCTGACATTCCGAGCACGAATGAAAATTACATCTCAGGTGTACGTGCTAACAAGCCCTTGGAGATACAGATCGACCTCAGGATGGCCATTCGCGCAGGGCTTTGCTTTTTCAAGACAGAGAGCGATGGTGTCCTCACGCGCGACAAGGTGCCCAACTACACGATTATTTCTGTATTGGACGCTACAAATGGCGATGTATGGTACACTCGCTCCGAGCAATCGGATGCAGGTGCACCAGCTGAGGCGAACGAGGATGAATCGCAGGGGATGAAGCGCGACCAAGCAGTGGTTGATGATCGATCCACAGCGCTGGAACGTATTGCTACGACCCGCACCAATGTGGCGTCTCCTCGCGCCCCGCAAGGGGAAGCGAAGAGACAGAAGACTTTCAATCCAATGGAGAACGTTGAGCTGAATGTCGCCGCGTGCCCGGTCTGCAACAACAGTGTGTTTGAGGGGCAGGTCCATTGCTCGTCATGTGGGCAGTTGTCTCCCCTCAATCCTCGGCTGCTGAAAGAACAGCAGAGGAATTACATTGTGCAGCGTTCCAACTTGCTGAAGAAGATGGGCCTCAGCACCCATGTCACAGCCCAGGTTTTGGCATCCGTGGGAACTTTTGACCTCCGCGAGGAGGATCGTAGCAGCATCATTCGTGGCTTGAACTCCCCGGACAGTGCTGTTATTCAGGAAGCCCGGAAGAAGCACAAGTCCGCTCTGAAGAACGGCTACCACTCTCTGCTTGATCGCTATGAACTCGACCTCCAATACAGGGTTCGTATGCTTGAGGTGGGCCGTCGGGAGGCGGATATGCTCCGCATGGAGTTGTGTGCAAATCTCGTCTTGGCAGCTCCAAAGCAGTCGCAAGCCCAGCGCACTCTGGGTGTTGGCCTTGGATCAACTTCGGAGTCGCGAATCGCAAGGCTCGCGTATGTCAAGACGGAGTTGGAATTCCTGCCCAGCGAACTTCAAGATGCGCTTTCCTCTCGCTGGATCATTATGTTCCAAGGGATGCCTTACAGCCCAAGGGCTTTTATCAACGTGGTCTTCGAGCAAGACAAGCCTCGCAGCATTGGTTGTTGGAATGGCATCATCCATGTGCGAAGCAACACGTTGGAGGACCTCCGCCACGAGATGGACTGGGTTTTCAGCCAGAATGAGCGTTATGCTCGTAACTCGATTGAATTTTCGAGGAACGAGAGCAGCAAGCACCTCGCTCGCAACGCCGCTCGCTATGCCGATACACGTGCTCCCGCCGCCCGCGAGGGTGAGCATTGGAGCCAAGGCAGCTGGCAGAACTGGTCCGGATGGAGCGGATGGGACAACAGTAGCGGAAACTACTCTACGTGGCAGTGGCGCTAAAAGCGCAACTGTCATGGTTTGCATGTGTCAATGGTTCCCCTGACCTTCTCCCTCTGTTGTGTTACTGTTTGGCTGCTTTGTGAAAGGCCCCTTTAACACGCAGAGGGGGGTGAAGAATTTGATCGGTCAGTATGGGGTTTTACATCCATTGCATCCGCAGTGTGGCTGTTCAAGCGTAAAATGTGCGAGCAGCGCACTTGGACGGTTTGCTGTTTCCTTTTGGGCCCCAAACCGGTAACCCTTGAATCTATACACACGCCTCTCGTGGGTGAACCTGGAGGCTGACAACTTCCTAATAGTTTAACAATGTTTAGCAGAAATATCCTATTGTTTTTCTCAACTTGCCTTGGAAGACCCAAAAGTGGCGATCGGTTCAATGGCAACACCACCAAATTGATCAGCTTTTGAATGGGAAATCCAGCTGGGATTCCTTCCATTAGTTTCTAGACCGGGGGTGAAACTGTCCAAATGCGCCCCGCCCAGGAAGTCGAAGGACCTTTGACCGTCAGAGCGCCTCTGGGCATGTGTCTGGCGATTTGTGAGTTGGCTGGGCAAGACATGTAAAGCTTCCAGTTGTTTTGGTACAATATATTTTGGGGCAGGCGACCCTCCTGTCCACAAACAATCGGGTCGTGTTTAGAGGAGTGGGAAGGCTAAGCTAAAAGGCAGAAACGACTTTTACATATTGGTTTGGCTCAGTCAGTCGTTCAGAGAAAAAATGTATCACACCCCGAGATTACACCCTCATTCCTACTTTGACTTCTGCTGTTTTATCTTTTCTTCGCTTGACTTTCTTCTTGCAAAATCCATTGAGAGTGGGTCCAGTCTATTGGGCTGAATGGAACAATCGTTGCCATCTAGCGGCTCAGCTGCGCCAAACAATCAGTCTGACAACTCCACTGGGATGTCGCCAATGTGTCATGAGACAGCTTCACTCGCAAAGTAATTCCCAATTTGGAGGGGGGTGTCTCCGGGGGTCCAAAAACACCATGCAAAACCTCGAATACCGTTGGGTGAAAGGAATTACATCCAACTCCTGAATTATTTTGATTGATTTTGGCTGTTTTTCTTCTGGGGGGATTGTTGGGGTCCAAAAGCTTCAATGTCGAGGTACCACCTCAAAACTTCCTGTTTCACCAAGAAAAGCAAACCCGCAAAGTAGGACTTGCGACATCGATCCGTCCGAAGCGTGAAAGGAAAGCATTGGCGATGAAACACGTGGGTGTTTGAACAATACGGGAGACAGGGGTTCTTGGACATGCCCCACACAAGCCGCAAATGCATCAAAATAAATCAAAATAAAGCAAAGTCGATTGAAATGGATCAAATTAGTTCCTTTAGAACGAATTAGTCGGGGAACAAGGTGAAATCCGAGGGTGCAATACCTTTTCCCTCTGAGTAGTGATTCAAAAACAGGAGGCTGGTTTCCGCGATCGGTTGCTTGCTTGTTTCCGCGAAACAGGGAAGTTTGACGCAGAATTTGGCGGGTCTGCTAAAAGACCCGACCTTCAACTTCATGGCTTGCCATCTATCCACGTCATTGAGCCTGCTTCGGGAGTCTAAGAGTTTGTCTTGTTTGGACTGGCTCACTTGTTCAGATCCTGAAGCGACGCTCAAGCGGTATACTGTCTTTGGGGCTTGAGGCGGAGCATGAGTCTGGGCATGACGAAGGTCCTTTGCTGGGGGTTCAAATATGTGGGTGTGACTTCTTTTGAGGGTACCGCGATTTTTTGCGGAACCAAAAAAAACACCATTTCGTGAGTCCCCTCCAGTTTGAGAAGTGTAGATGGGTAGAGTGCTGCGTGATGAGTCGGCAGTAGAAAGCGCCAAGAACACGTGGTAGCCAAGTTGGCGTGCTTTTCCCGGGGCCAAAGACGCGCAGTTGTTCGGGGGCACGGGCCATTTGTGTCCCGTCCGCCCTCATGTGGCCCAGGAGAGATTTGCAGTCTCAGATGGAGGGTTTTTGGGGTGGGTTTCATTCCTGCGCTTGGCTCAGCCGGAGGACAAAGATGCCAAGGGGAAAGCAAAGGCGCGCCGAGTTGAGCTTGGGCTTCGGACACTGTTGCTGGGGTAGATTTTTTTGATGGTCCCTCCGTTATGCAGATGCTCTGGTCCCTTAGGGGATGTCAGCTACAACATTGCTAAGTTTTGGAATGTCAGCCTTTTCTAAGACATCATGACGATGCACAGGGGTTGGAAGACAACCATCATCTCAAGGCAGCCTTTTGGAATTCTTCTCCTTGGTTTGTCAGGTGTTTGGTGTGAACAGTCAGAAGGAAAGTGACCTGCCTAGATTCTCAGAGCCGGCATGGCGGCGGAGTAATAAATAGGTTGGCGGATTTATTGGGGTGTGTGTGTGTGTGTGCGTGCTCCGTTAATGAGAAGTGATCCCCTCTAAAAGGGGACACCGTTGGCATTCAAAATTCAAGGACACAGGTCAACACAGGCATGCACACTGCAGCTTCTGCCGGTTTATGCCAACGGATGGTACAAAACATGCTGGCCCGCCACTGGTATCTTCAGCGTGCGTTTGCACGGTACACGTCAGGATGGCATGTGCGTGGTCGTTTGGCTGACCCTGGCAGGCGAACATCCGGTTTCCGGCTGCAAAAGCTGTTCAGGCTATCCCCCTCAACATTTGGGTGTGTCTCTTGTTGAGGGTGCCTTTGCAAAATCTTTTACGGGAGTTGAAAGGAACCATCAATAGGGTTGCCTCATAAGACACCCAACCGTGGGTCTTCAGTCTCAACGGTGAGCTTGTTGTGTAGCCCACCAGTCTGCCTGTGGTGACGAGCTTATTTTCTGTAGGTTCTTTGCTTGGGTGATCCCTGACTTCAGCTGTTTGAAGTGTAAGTTTTTGCAGACCATATTTGGGGATCCCTTACGTTTGCTTTTCGAAATGCTATGAATCGGATTTTGCAGGCCGGGTTTGTCTTTCAGTTCTTTGGCAGGGGTGCAGCGTCGCTTCAGGTTGGCGGGGCCGGCCGATGCCTCAGAAGTTCGCCGGTTCGAAGTGGCCTTGGGATTTCTTTGGGAGTTGTGTCCCACTCGCTGGCGCTTTCCGGATTCCTAAAATGCGCTTTTCCCCATCCCAAGCTGAGTGCCACCTTCGACTATCCAACTGGGCGGGACCGGGGGGGGCAAAGGGCGATCCAAACGCAGCAGACTTTGACGTGATTTGTCTCGACAGGTTGCTCAACCTCCAAACAGACATGAACGGGCTCACAATCAACCAAGAACTCATGGTTGATTTGTGGCCTCCCTTGGGGATATTTGTGGGCGTTTGGTCCCTTAGCGGGTGTCGGCTTATTTGTGCGCATTGTGACCTTCTCTCTTCCTGGTTTGCGGCAAGCCCACCCACAACGAGGGTCCCCTTTCGGGACACCTTAACCGTGCAAGCATTGAAGTGGGTTTGGGGCCCCGTTCGGAACCAGAGAGAGAGAGAGAGAGAGAGAGAGAGAGAGAGAGAGAGAGAGAGAGAGAGAGAGAAAGAGAGAGCGAGAGAGAGAGAGAGAGACTATTTCAGTGAAAGACCGCGAGGCAATAGGGAAAGAGGAACAGCAAAGCAACAGCAACGCACTGTTCAGGGTGTCCAAGGCTTGCAGAAGCACTACTCGCGAACAAAGAAATCGTGGCTCCGAGGCGAAAAGCCGATCCTCGCGGCCAAAATCCAGGAAGTCAAGGGCACGCCGGGGAGCCCAGGAAAACTTCCCGTGGGTCCCGTGGACGTTTACGTGTTCAATCGATACGAGAACCCTCCCAACGGACGCTCGGCTTCCGGTTTAGACTACTTTCCTTTTGGGGAGTAAGCACGGATACCCAGCAACTCCGCTAGCAAAAGCATCATCGAAGGTGGAAGTGCCCGAGCAAAGGAAAAGCGCGGTTGTGACAGCATCATGATTCAGTGTTACCAGGCCCAATTGTCGCAAGTGCCTTTGCATCCGTCCCGACTGATGCGGGCGCCCACCAAACCCTCTCACTCAGCCCTTATTGCAAACAAAGGTTGTGGAAAGGATCTGGAACGATTGTGTCCCTTGCCCGCCCAGCGCTCGCCGACGCGTTGGCCAATCGCCCTGCAGATCTCCTTTTTTGTTTTGTGCCTTTTAGCCTGACACCCCTCACACCATGCATCTAAAGGAGCACTTTTTTGATTTGACCAGGGAATTCCGCCCGTGCTACGGCCCCAACGGACAAATCCCTGACAAATCTGCATTGCCAGGGTATGTGTCAAAAATGTGGGGAAGCTCGCAAAACGTTGTCTTTCCTTTGGTTTTCCTTCAAAGCCCTCCAAAACGGGCACCCTCCAAAAGGCCCATTTTAGGGCCATCCCATCTCACAACCCACGTGCTTCTCGGAAGGTATGGGAAGATGTCGGCCAAGGCGCGCGGCGCGCCAGCCTCGGCGACCCTGTGGAGGGGGGGTGGGGTGGGGCGCGAGGGGATGCTGTTTGCTCCCGGCTTTGAATCATAGGCGTCCTTTTTAGGTGAGGCTGGTGAAAAATAGATGGGTTCCACTGGGTTAGATGGGCTTTGTTCCATTTACCAGGGCCATCTATTTTTCCAAAAGGCCACCTATGTTTTGAATCATGAAAGATCATGGGGACCATACGTTTTGCTTGGCACAAGCGGCATGTATGAGGGCCATGTGGTCATGTGTGTCCCCGTTCTGGTCGAAGAATAAATCAAGTTGTCGTGTTTCTTTCTTTTGTGTTTTTTCTTCTTCTTTTTTTGGGGGGGAATCGGCCGCGTCGTTTGTTTGCGCAGTTGCCGGGATGAGGGGCTAGTCGACCGCGCCAAATGGCTTTGCTTCCTTGGAAAGCCTGATCGGCTTCCGGTGGCGAAAGGGCCCCGCCCAGAAACTTGCGCCTTTGAACCTCCATGGCGAGACCAGCGGACAGTTGGGGCAAATTGTATTGTGGACAACCTGAAAAGGTGCAATGAAGTGCATGACTTGGCCAGCATGAGTTTTGACAAGCCGAGGGTGTTTCGAATTCTGGGCAGAGGAATCTAGGACTTGCGGAAGGAGAGAAGAAGAGCTCAACACCTCGGCGCATGGAGGGTCGTGGCGGGCAATTCCCACCCCCCGTACGTTAGGGTGGCTTTCGTTGGAGAGGTGTGGGGTAGGGTGAGTGGCCTGGTTCTGGGATCCCATGACTTACTCACATGGAATCCAGTTGTCAGATGATTATGTTACGATTCTCTCCACTTGTTCAATGGCTTGCAGCTTCCTAGAAATGACCAACCCCTGGCCAGCATTGCGGAGCTCCCAGTTCTGAATTAGTGAGGGTTTGGAAGAATCCTTAAACCCTCCACTGAAGGAACCGCACCGGGAAGAACCGTCGAGGGAGGTTATCACTCAGCAAAAGTTTTAGTGTCGATTGTTTTTTCCTTTTTCCCCAACAGCTGAAAAGCTTTGGGGTCTCAGCCCAGATAGGCTCTGGGGTGGTCCGGGGCGGCCCTGAGGTAAGGTTCCACGAGGGTTCCACCAGGGTTCCACGAGGGTTCCACGAGGTTCTGAGAGGGCTGCGGGGTGGCGCGAGCACTAAGAAAGCGCCGCATACTGTTGGGGATATCACCTGAGCTTATTTTTTCTTCTTTTGTTTTTCGGGAATTGGGGTCATTGGAGGACTCCCCCCGACCTCTTCAGCCGAGTCTCAAGGAATGCATTCTCTTTACATCTCTGTTAATTTTGGTCAAACGACAACATAATAGTGGTCTACCCCTCCAATCATGACCTAAATTCTGGATTCAGAGTACCCCAGAAGTGACTTTCCATCCTGAAAGCCAGGAAAAGACTCTGGCCAAATATTCGGTTTCAGACCCACCCCCATGACCTTTTTGTGAGCGCGGCGCCTTAATCAACTCGGAATCCGCCCGAGGCGCGTATTCACCCGGGGCCCCTGCAGCTGCGCAAAGCCCTCGCGCCCCGGGACACCACGGAGTGGGCGGGGGCCCAAAGCCGTGCCAAGCCGTCCGTCCGTTCGGCAAACGCAGGGGGGGGGGGGGGATGCTCAACAAAAAATGCGGGGAATAAATTTTGGGGTCCCCTGAAAAGGAAACCACAAGGGGATGGTTTATAAGGGTTGTTGCCTCATTCCCTGCTGAGAACCATAAGTACAAAAGCATCGCACGGTTGGTCCCCTGCGACACCTGGTGGACACGTGTTGCGTCGACTTTTTCAAACTGAGATTATAATACCACTCCCTGGTTGGTTGAAAGGTGGGTTTTCTTCTCAGTGTGAATTTGGTTTGAATCCCCCGCTGAGTTGTGACTCTGAGATGGGAATTGGTTCAGGGCGAATTTCATGCATTCCGTTCAACACGTGCAGGGTGTAGGGTGTAAGGCATGCATGCAGGGAAAAAGTGGGCAGTCCGAAACACCTTCTTATCTGAAACAATTGCTTGACTGCTTTCATGGAAATGGCGCTTTCCCGAACTAGACGGCGTTTGCTAAACACTGAGATTCACTGCAACTCTCCCCGCCCCTTCTTTCAGAACAGTCTTTTAGACCACGTTTATGGGTTTCCCGTTTTGTTTGGTGGTTAAACCTGGTGCCCAGACGTTTCCTCTGTCTAGCTTGGGCAGCTGGGTGAGCCGGCTGTGGCTGCCTGCACAGGTCCGTGCAATCAAGCAGCCCTACTCCTACTTCGAGCCCCGCCGCCGATGTTCTTTTTGCAGCGCGCCGGCGAAGCCGCGACATCGGCCTTGAGGGCGAGGGTGGCCCCTCAAAATCTTGGGGATCCATTTGTCTGAGGGTACCTTCTCCAGGGATCCTTCTCTCTGGAAAACCTCCGGAAACCCAGGGAAAACGGCTGGTTATTGCAAAGAACAATGGTTGAAAAGAATGGGGAATCAGCCCGTAGAATTTGGCTGTGCACGTTGTTTTTTTAGGTAGTGTAAGGTATTTACCCCCCCAAAAAAAAGACGCCAGCTTGCAGAGCTTCTTGAAGCAGAGGTCCTTGGGAATTTGTCAGTGCAGAGTTGCCTTTGTGTCCTTTTTGAGGGCCCCCGATGTTGGCGGGACTACGGGAAACCTAAAAGGATAGCCACCACTTTGGGGTTCATTTTTTAAAGACCCCCTTGCAAAAGGGGATTCCAGGACTTGTTTGACAGGGGGTCCGACGGCCCTTGATATAACCTGGGATTTGTTGGGTTGCGGAAGCTACCTCCTCCCACCCACGAATATGAAACCTGACGGCCGCGACTGGAAGACAGCTTTCTCAACGGAGCCTTCTGGTGGATTCCGTGCTAGGCATCCTTTTTCCCGTGCGGTGAGTTCCTCATACTTGAAGCGGCCAACCCACAACCATTGCTTTTTGGACAGGACCTGGAATTTTGGGCATGGACAAAAGCAATCGAAAAAGGATCGCGATTCTCTTTCTACGTCTAGAACAAGGGGCGTTGGTATGGGTTTTGGAAAAAATACCGCAACACCTTGCTTTCAAGCGTATGAGCTTGCATGTCTGTCCTGACAGAAGCGAGGGATGGGTTCTTGACTGACATGGTGGGAAAGCATTTGTACTTCAGCCCCTTTTCCTGAAAATGCAAGCCTGGATTAAAATGGAACCAACCACTCGTGGAACCCCCTTTTGGAGGAACCTTTGCAGGGGCGTACTGTCGATTTCTGATGAATCACTCCCCACCTCTTATTACGTTATTAGGCGGGGTCCCCTGGAAGAACGGATTCCCCACAAAAAATCTAGGGGGTGATTCCCCATTATTTTATCGTTCTTTTAAAAAACCGGCTGTTTCCCCAGGGTGTTGGGTGGTTTTTTAGAAGGATCCGGATGCCTGGAAAGAATGGAAATGGAAGGTTCCCCTAGACAAACGGGAGCCCCGGCCCGTAACAAGCAGCGGGCTTCCGCTGTCGGAAGATCGCCAGGTCCGCGGCCAACGAGCCCAGCCCATTGCCGGAGAAGTCCAAAGGGCCGCCAGCGCCCCTCGGCTCTAAGCCAAGGGGCCTCTCGCAACTGACGCGAGTATTTTTTTGGGGGGTCTTGAAGTTTTGACGAAATTCCCAGGTTGGGATGTTTTCCCAACCTTTGGTGTACGCATTTGCTTTTTGGTCCTGAATCGTCCTTGGACTTGTCGGTATTGGAAAACAAGAAAAAAAGAAGAAAAAACACAATGTGTCAACCGAAGGAGTTGAAGAGGAAACCGATCCGATCCTAAACCCTTGGGTAAGCAAAAGGAAACTCGCGTGGTGGAGGGGACCCCCCCCCAAAAAAAAAGACACACCCAGATGTGTTAGTTTCCCCAGTTGGTGTTAAAGGGAGTCTGTCACCACTGGCGAAATGTGGGGGACTTCAGCGAATTGGCGTAGATAGGTCAATGGCAGTTGATAGAAGGGGTGTGTTTGATGTAAGGATATAATATATACATTTAGGCGAAAAAAACACAAGCCTCTGAATCCAGCTTATGCCAATCCCGAAACCAATCCTACCAACCCCGAGCCAACCCGAAACCAAGCCTAAGCCGACCCCAAACCAGCCTGAAAACCAACTGAGAGACTCAACAGGACAACAATCTGAAGGTAGGCTTAGGATTTTCTGCGTGGCAAATGTGGGCCAAGAAGTTGGCTCCTGGATTCGGACAAAAGCCGCAACTTAGCTATCTGTTGGTGTCCTTCTAAGTTCTAAGGCGTGGCTTCTTCTTGTGCGATCCCTTTTGAAATGACTTTACATGTCCTGAGCAGAGCAGGCGACTGCCACTTTATCGTCACGCAAATCAGCCAAGCTCCGAGCAACAGGACGTGAAGTTCAATTCGGAACCACCCCAATGTGTATACCTTCATCGCCCGATGTGTTCCTCGAGACATTCGTTGAGGTAATCAATCGGGGTTTACTTGCAGTGTCCTCGTTTCGGAAGAGTTCTGGCTTCTTGTTCCTTGCGATTTGCTGTTGGTTTCCTCGGCGTCCCTTTTGAATCTCTTTCCTTTTTCCGTCGGACTCATCCTTAGCCCCCAGCTTGACCCCTGTGCGACTAAGGCTGTGGCTGCCTGTCAGCAAGGGCAAAGCCCTTCAGGACTGTTCTGGGTTGAGTTTAGAGGTGGGAGGGGGGAAGCAATCAGGGCAACTTATCGCGAGCTCACCGATGCAGCGAGAAAACATGCGATTTGCCCTAGTGATGAAGGTCCTTTACTTGGATCCTTCATTCTTGGGAGATTTGACCGAAAGTATTGGAAATTGAGGATTAAGAAACCTCGTTGATTAACAGGTGGTACTAGACTTTTGCGTGCACAGGGCGGCGCCATGAGTGCAGGGCTTGGGGCCGTTCGAAGTTTGCCTTGATTAATTTCAATTGTCAGTGGCCCCAGGTCTTATCCCACGGGCCCTGTTAACGGAAAACCAAGCGAAAACCAACGATTTTGGGGCAATTAGACTAAGCTTGTACTTACCCCGCTTAGGGATTCCATTCCGCACTTCGCCTACGAAACTGGGGCCACCCCAAAGTGCTTGACGATGGGGATATCCAGCCTAGTCAGGGGGGCTGAGCTGGATGGATGTGACTCTATGGCTGAAGGTTTTGTTTGGCTCAAGCATGGCTGACAAGGTTTGCCACTTTCAGTGTTGGAGCCACGACTCAGTGTCCAAGCTTCTCATTTCCTTTCCTGGGAGTCCTCTACCAGGCAATTTCTGAGAAATAGTCGGCGCTGCACCAACTGTTTCTGAAGGGTGGCCGACACGACAACCAACCATATCTTCCGAGCTGCTTGCGCGTGCTTGTAGCAGTGCTCGCCAAACGCTGGGATACCCCCGAAACACAGCTGGTCGTGCCAAGGGGCCCCCAAAGTGGCCGCGACTCCACGCGCTCATGTTCACCATCTTCTAGTTCACGCATTCCCAACACTTAATTAACCCTTCGTCAGCATGGAAATAGGTTAACCACGATCTCGACGAGCCAGATTGGAGCAATAAAGGCCCTGAAACACAGCATGGAATTTGTCCTTGTCTAAAATAGCACAAGAGAAACCAACCAAAAGGGGTGCCCCCCGCCCCAAAGCAAGACACACCCACACCATGAATCTGAGGGTGAGTTGGCTTTCAACGATGTAAGGGTAAACGTCTAGAATGTCACTCAAAAGAGGGCGTGATTTCTGGGACTGCTGGATGCTTCGCGTCGGATCCCCTATCTTCCAAATGAGTTTGCCCAGATGGGCCGTTTTTTCTCTCACTTGGTTCCCATGTAATCCAATAGGGGTGCACGATCAGAGGGTGACTAATCAGTGCAACATTTCAATCCGCGCAGCCACAAACCACTCCCCCAAGTGAACACGGGAACTCCAATCTGTATACAGCAGAGGTCAGATGCGCCCCATTTTGGCTTTATGGGTAGAAGAGCCACGGGGTTGGGACCCTCCCCGGTAAGGACCAGAAGCTCAAGGACAATGCCCGGCGCTCAGCTGCCCTCGGGGTTCCAGAAAAATATGTCAATTCTGTGGTGTTAAACCTGACCTTTTTGTGTTGCCGATCAAAAGGTTCCTTTGGGGCGACGTCCAACGAGGAAGTGCAAGACCCAGTCCTAACATGTTCGACCTGCCAAAGCAGAAAAACACCACGCAGTTCATCCTTCCCTGCTGTTTCACGACGAGCGGGCCATAGAGAACCTTGGGTTCATGACAATCCCCTGAACACTGAATAACCCAAACACATGTTAGCTATCGAACAAAATCCAAGACTCTGGTCTTACGCGCTGGGTATCGAAGGGTTTGAGGGGCTCAGTTCACGGGACTTTGAGTTACCATTTGGCGAGACTTCAAACGTGATTTCATTGGATGTGGTCAGGTTGGAAATGGCATTCTATGGACCACGTGTGTGTTTTTTTAAGAAACAAAACTTCAACAGCGTCTCGACAAACATTCAAAAGGAACGCACACAGACAAGGGATCATGTCCTAGTCTCCCTGTCCCCATTCCTCCACGTAAAGGCTGAGTGTATGACCACTGCTACCAAGAGGAAATAAGGAATGCCTTTCACATAGCCTCAAACGCTCATGAGGAATTGGCAAACTGGGTGTCCCTTGGCCCATGAAAGGCTGCACAGTACCAACTGTAGCTACGCACAGGCGGTCCATGAAGTCACCCAATGCTTCCTTTCTTGTCCCAGGTGACTGGTCGATGGCTCAGCTTGGGTGCAGGGGGAGCAATGGGACGAGGGTGGGAGGGGGGGGGGGGTTGGATTCAGTGACGGAATGAATCTGAAGGTTAGAGTACAGGTTTAAACGTATATATAGTACATACATATTCAGTCACGTATAAAACAAAATGCATGTATGCAGGGATGCATTTGTATTGCCTGCATATGTGCGGGTTACATTTGTGCGTATCTTTGTAGGAAGGTATGACTCCCACGATTTAATATGTTTTTACTCGCATACGTTTCGGGGGCCACAGTGCAGGGCCTTCAGCAGCGCCTTTGTGTTCTATGAAGAAATCTCCCAGTGAAGGTGCGTGTGTTTGGGGTTTGGTAGTGCTGTGTTTGTCTTCATTGGAGTTGTCTTTGTTCTGCACCATGGAAACGTGGATTGGTCTCACCCATTGTGAGGGTTCCTTACTTGGGGATCCTTAAGCTGATGAACGATGGCAATGGGCACAGGTTGTTGCAGTATTCAACTTGAGTAGGATGCTGGGCAAGGCGTTTCGCAGGTCGAAATGAGCTTCCGCCGGCTTCTCATGCGCCAGCTGCGCGCGTGGCGTGTGCGCGCTTACCTGCTTGCTGCAGGCGAGGGCGACAAAGGCAAAGAGAAAGACAAGAAGCTCACCTTAGCGGAGCGGGGCTCTCAGGGGCAGGCCTACATCCTTGAATCAACTACCGAATGCGCAAACGGAGTCACCTTTCTTGTCCACCACAACCGCAAAAGCGACAGTGCATTCGCATGTGCTATGTGTTTGTGTGTTCGTTTGTGTTTGCGCGGCTTTGTGTGTGTGTGTGTGAGTGCATGTGTTTGTCGTGTGTGTGTGTGTGTGTGCCTGTCTGCACCTGTCTGTCCATTTGCGTGGCTTTGTGTGCCTGAGCATGCCACTGTGTGCCTATGCGTGCCTTGGTGTGTTTGTGTATTTGTGTATTTGTGTATTTGTGTTTCTGTGTTTCGGTGTCTCCTGGTGTTTTTACTTTTGGCGTCTGTGTATGTGCGTGTGTGTGCTTGTGTTTGTGTTTGTGTGTGCGTGTGACCGTTCAACTTGATTTTTATCGCCCTTGTTCAGCTTTGCACTAGCCGCCCCCTGTTGCTGGCAACTGGGATCAACTCGGTCCATTTTAGACATCCCCTAAGGAAACACCACACAAATGTGTAAGTATGTTCGCTATCAGGGCTGGTTTAAACATCTCTAAACCTAGGAAGGGTCTTTCGAAAGTTTGGGAAACCCGGCACGAGCGAGCAAATCGCGCTGAGTTACGATGAGCGCACTTTGGGGCGACCGCCCTGGGACGAGGCGGGGTAGCCATTTGGAACTTCAGGCGTGTTGCGTAAGCTAAGCACACACCAAACAACCAACCCACCAACCCACCAACCAACCAACCAACCAGCCAGCCAACCAACCGACCAACCAATACATCAATGAATCAAGCAAGCAAGCAAGCAAACAAGCAAGCAAGCAAGCAAGCAAGCAAGCAGTCAATCAATCAATCAATCAATCAACCAATCAATCAATCAATCAATCAATCAGTGAATCAATCAAACCAACCAATCAATGAATCCATCAATCAATCAATCAATCAATCAATAAATCAATAAATCAATAAATCAATAAATCAATAAATCAATCAATGAATGAATGAATGAATGAATCAATCAATCAATCAATCAATCAATCAATCAATCAATCAATCAATCAATCAATCAATCAAGCCAACACGCAAATAGCGAATAAAAATATGCAAACAAAAAGCAGCACACACTGACACTAAAAGCATAAACACATATGTAGATACTGTACATAATGCCGTGTGTGTTCGTTGACTGCTTGCCTTACAAGTATTTCAGCGCCCCTGACCCAAGAGCCTGGCATTTTATGTACCTTAGTGGTTGGTTTGAATTCGTAGCTTGGGGAGCTTGCCAAACCACCGCTTCAAACCACCCATTGGAGGGAAGCTAGGGAGGTTGCAAATCAATCCTCGGCTAGCATGTCCCCAACTCCTCAGTGTGATGCAGCGCTTTTAAGCAAGATTTCAAGCATGATGCGGAGGTTTTTGTGTTCGTGGTCCTGTAAGCGGCACAGGCATAGCGTAGATGTCTGGTACAATCATAGGAAGTCTCAGTTATCCGCAAGCGAGACAAGGAAAGAAAACAGTACAGCAACAAGAGAAAGAAGAAACAACCAGTCTCCTAATTAGAAATGTTTGGCAGTTTCATTTCTGAGAGGCCAATATGTGTGGCCTCCCACTTTGGCGGGCCTTGGTCAACAGCGACATGTATGCCTCAGGCTTGGCATCTCCCAAGCACATGCTGGCTGTAGGGTAAGGAGTGCGATGCTTCTAGTAGGTTGCTTTCAGGCAAACTCAGGCCTAGAGCTAAGGCGACTTGCCAGATGCGTTTCTGCACAAAATGACGTTGACATTGCTACTGCGTCGGGCGTGGCGTCACTGAACAATTCACTGGGCGTGCCTAGCTAGGCTCCACAAGCCAGGGCGATATACGCACTAAACATGCCGGACAGTGTCGCACGTCCCGTCCTGCTTGAAATCTAAAAAGGGCGGACCTCGACCCCAAAGGAGGCATGGGGTTGCGCATGGGTGGCAGGGGAGCTCGAGGCACCCGAAGACTTCGCCAGATCGATCAGCAAATCAGGGGGGCAAGCTTGAAAGCTGAAAGAAAGTAAACACGTAAATCACAAACCCCAAACCCGATAGTCATATCACTCCCTGAGTTCTTGGACTTACGACTTTTTGGGAAGATCAGTTTAGTGGTATACAAGAAGTTCAGACTTTTCCTGGCCAATTCACTCGGGAAGTGAGCCATGCGATGTTTCAACGAACCATTCTGATTCTTGTCAGGAACACCACATCATGGTCTCCCGCATGAACGGTGAGGCGGAGCCGTGCTCGCGAAGCTATGAGGTTCCGTATGGGATAACCCCTCAGGTTTTGAGGAAGGCAAAGTTGGAGGAATGGGGGCTGCAAACTCGCTCTGAAATCAGATACGGCATGAGTTGTTGCAGAGCATGACAGCTGCTGCGTCTGCTTTTTTGTTGTCTCTCTTTCTCTCTCTTTCTCTCTCTCCCTCTATAAGTGCACAAAAGGGAGGCACTTATCAAGGAGGGTGCATAATCTCTATGTTGGCTAGTCGCAGAAGACAACAGATATTTATTTGAACATTCACAGTGTTTTCCTTGTGCTGAAAGCTGGCTTGCTCAGGTGCGTATCTTGGAAGCATTTGGTAGTAGTGGGTTGTTGTCGTGTTCGCATTTGGCGAGTTGGCACTTTCAAATCTTCGATCGTGTTCTCAGAGCATTGTACACAGGGAAGTTTGAACAAGCCTCGATATTTCCAGACAGCCAACTGATCAAACACACCAAAATGCAACCATATTGAAACCACCCAGCCCGGCAAACCCATACTTGCGGAATGAACATCACGCAAGAGCGGGCAAGATCTGACGTAAGGGTGCGCTGAAAGTTGCCATGTTGTTTTTGGCCTAGCTGTCCTTTTGGTAAAATAGACGGCCCTGGTAGTTGATGAGACCAAAATTACCCCGGGCCCTGGGAATTCGCGTCGCCGCTCTCGCTGAGATGCAGAGCGGAGCCCGAGAGTATTTCGACAAGCCCAAGCGCAAGGAAGGCAGGTTCCAGGATAGGTTCCAGGGGTCTCAGTGAGACGTTCAGCACAGACGGGTTGCTCGCACCAAAGGATGAGTGTTGCATCCAATTGGGGTGTTGTTGCGGGAGCTCCAAAAATGGTGGTTGTCCTTTTGGTTTCCCTAGAAAACCACAGAAGTGGGGCAAGGCCCAAGATTGTTCCAGGGGATGTAGCCCCCCGAGCAGGACCCGTGACAGCAATGGAAAAGGACTCCGTTCGAAACGTCAATTGCATTTGAATTAGGTGGGGGAAAGGATGGACCTCTTTTGAAGCGGCAGCTACAATCATAATCCACATGAAGACATTGTGATTGATGTTGCGTGTTGCAGTTTCAGCCTTGCATGTGGCAGCATGTATCGTCGGGGGCATGTCGGGGGATGTTGGCGATGCCTGGAGCAGTTTGCTTCTTCGCGCAAAGACTGCAAAAGTCATTCCAATCGCGCGCTGACACCTGGAATATTTACTGGTTGAGGACCTTTTTCCGGTTGGCCGAACTTAATCCAGCCGAGCCCCACAGGGCCTGTGTTGGGTTGATTGTTGGGAAGAGGGTAAAATGAGTCAACCCCAAGAAGGTTCCCCTTGTTCTGCCAGGGTCACTGGGCCACTGACCGGAGGCGACATCTAGGTTGCCCAAATTTTTGGATCCTCGGTGTCATTTCATTAAAGGGCCAAAGCTGAGGCAGGTTTGTGTGTGTGTGCTTGGGGCTGGCATCTCATTTTTGTTCACTCACCTTGTTTCTTGCCAATGCAACTCAACTTCCCAAGAGGTCGGCAAAGAATGGCGAAGGTACAGCAGTTGGACATTTAGGAGATGCCTCCACGACAGAGTTTTGGAGGTTTCTTCCTTCTGTTCTTGTTTTTTTTCTTTTTCGGGGGGGCCAACAAACAAAATCTGTGGCTGTCCATGGGAGACGTGGGGCAGATGTTAGACTCCCGGTGCTTCCAGATGGCAGGCATTTTTCAATCTTGCAACAAATCCCTTGCCGCCGACTTCTGATGGTTGCCGGCATCCCCTGCGGTTCACTGTTGATTGGGAGGGACCTGTGAGTCCCTGGCATTTGGCGCTCGGGAAGGGCAATGGAGACCTGGCCAGAAAATTCGTGTTAATCATCAGGTTGGGGGGTCCCCTAAAAAAAGACACCCCATATAGCCATAGGGTAGTGTCCCCATTTCCCATCGGGGGGGGGGGGTTGTGGAGAACCTCTCGGATATTTTGCGCTTCGTGAGAAAACTGGCCAGGCGAGGGCATCCCGAAGACGCGGGAGCAGTATGCCAGCACCCCGAGATATTGAACTTACTCCGTAAATCAATCAAAATAGAACCTCCCCCCCGCCCCAGAAAAAAAAGACAGAGGTCGCTAAGACTCGGGTTTGTGGGCTGAGCCGACCACGCCGGGTTCGGCCAAAGAGTTGTGGGAACCATGGTCAAAGGCTGAATGGATATGGAACCTTATCAGCCCTTGCTGTCTTTTGGGTTACGCGACAAGAATTTTTGCGGCTTACCTGGGAAACCCTGACCCAGGAAGCCCAAACTGGGGTGGTCACATATGATATGGAAGTCTTCAATCGGCCTTTGAGGGCCCAGCGCCGAGGTCATGAATGATCGCCAAGCCGGGCGTTTGGCTTAGTGGACGGGCGGGTGGTGTGGTGTGTGCGGTTTCCGAGGTAGGTGCTTAACACGGTTTTGTGTCAAAAGCTCAAGGAGCATTCCACCGATTCCTTTTGGTTCCCCTTGATTCCTTTGTAATGTCGCTTAGGTTTCCTTTGGGTGTTTCGTTTGGGTATTCCTCTACTTCCTCTCATTTGACATTCTTCTGCGGGTGTCCTTGCAGTTGTTGTTTATCTATGCAACGCGATGTAATCTCTTAGTCCCATGTTCATCTTAGTCAGCAGTTTATGCTGGCGTCCCAGTGTTTGCTTGCGTTTTTTGATGTCTTTCATGTTATTGTCTCAACTGCTGTTGGGTCCATGTTATCATTGTGATTTCATTTGGTTTGTCTTTGTCGAAGTGTAAGTGAACATCTCACTTCCTGAGATGTCTGCATTTATACTTTTTGGGAAGACAATTTGAGTGGTAATCAAACAGTTTGGACTTGTTTTCGGGCCATCCTGAAGGGCTCAATCAGGCAATCAGGGCTTGCTAGGTTTGCCTTTGCCAACGCTGGTCAGCAGATCAGGTGTACATGGTGCTTCCAGTTTGAGCAAAAGTTGCCTCGGCCAAGCTTGCCCACTCGCATGCAAGCTTTGCGTGGAGAGATCCGGTGTGTGGCACGGTCTTGGCTTTCTGCATGGCTCGTCGACCCCAGCCTCGCCTGGGTTGAGGGTGCTTTTGAGCTGGACGTGCCAGCCGGGGCATAGCATGATGATTTCGATGACTCCCACACACACACACAAACGCAGAAGTGCAACACTGGGTTGCCTTTTTGGGGCCCTTCGAGAACGGAATGTCAAACAGCGTTCACGTTTTGTGTGGTTCCTTTACACCCTTCCGAAAGCTTCGCCGTGGGGGGCCTTCTCAGGTGGAACGACGAGCCCGGCCGGCCGGGCGAGATGCGGAAGACGCTGCCCAGATGCCAAGAGGGAAGCTGAAATCGATTTGTTTCCTGTCCTAGGGCCTCCCATATCCAACTGCGAGAACTTCTCCCCACCCGCGAGAAAAATCTAAACCCTGCGACAAACTGGAAGCCAATCCTGAACCAACCGCATATAACCCCAGTGGCCCAAGGCACTCCAAATTCCACCCTGAACCAAACGAAGCCCAAAGCCGCGCCATTTTAAAGCCGGCGATTGGATGGTGGCACTTTTTTCTGTGTTTCTTCTACTGCCCTGGCGAGCTCAGGATCTAGAGAAGCTCAACCAGATTCGATGCAGCGCTCCCCCCGTTTGACTTTCAAATGCTTTTCAAAGGGAAGCCAAAGGAAATCAACCGTGGAAGCAACGATTTCCGTAGACCCTCTGAAGAAAGTTTGTTACCCACCCACTTCCTCGTTTCTATTAGGTTTGCCTGTAGATGTTGTGTTCCCTTGTCTTGTGCGGGGTTGCTCCAGAAGCCTTCTTATGCTCGAGCTTGGGTGCTGCTTGATAGTGGAGAGCACATCTGTAAGGAGGCCTGTTTGACGCTTGGACAAGGATGGGAAGTGAATTGGCCTTTAGGAGTCAACACACCCATGGCTAGCCCTATACTTCCAATGGAAATGCCCACTTTTGTCCCCTCTGACATGTTGTTTCTTCTTTTTTGGGCTCAGTAACGTAGCTGCTCACGCTTTGGAGTCCAGCTGCTCTGAGGCGTCGATAAAGGTCCTCGAGCTGCCCGAATAGATGTTCCATGCTGCAGAAGCCTCCATTTGCTTACGAACATTGGAAATATCTTTATTTTTTCCTGGGGCCTAAACCAAATGGAAGGAAACCAGCACAGTTCATCAAGCCGGCGTGTTACCATTGGAGCCCATGGTCGGTCATAAAGACCTCAAGCCAGACGATAGCACGTTCTACCATGTTCCCAATCATGGAAGAACACACGGGGCGGTTGCAGAAGACTGCTGAACAAGATTAAAACAATGTCGATTCATCCATACATGTTTTCCTATGTCGTCCGCGCTTGGACGCTGGGTTTTTGGTACCCAGGTTGCACATGCACACACAGACACACACTTGGCATCACTTGGCCATGGGGCAGAACCGGTGGATGAACATCCATTTGCCACCTATTTTGATGTTCACCAGAGGTACAGGGTTTTGACCCACAGCCACATGGCTCGCCTGGCTCGGACTCCAGCGAGGTTCAACAACGTGGGGTCCTTCAACATCGGCGGCTGCAAAGATCACCAGCGCCGCTGCCATGCTTCCGGCTGAAGCCTCGCTGCAAAGCGCAGGGGGACACTGGAAATCAGCTGGTTACGGTGGGTTGGCTGTGGGACAAGAATAGGTACCCAACATGGAACCCTGGCAAATGGAAACATGGACTAAAACCCTGCGGTCTGATTCCTGGTGGTGTAATTTTGACTCATACCCGGTTGTTGATTGGTTCTTGGTATTTGCGTAACTTGCGCAAAGATTCGTGCCTGAAAGGCAAAGAGTAGATTATGTCCAGGCCATGTGCTTGTGTAACCTTGGCCAGCTTGTGTCCAGGCTTGGCCTTTGTACCTCTGGCTTGGGAACAAAGAGTCATTCATGTACAAACCTTGGAGGGTGTCCCTTTACTTCCTCGAAGGAGCGTCAGTGTCAGGCTTCCATCCTACTGGCGCAAGATCAAGGACGCTATCAGTGGGCTGGGTGTGCCAGGGGCTCTACGGATTCCCCCCACCCCCCCATGCACTTGGGCGGAATGGGGGTGTTGGCTGCTTAGTGTGCGTGTGGGTTTTGGAGGTTCGCCATGTGCCGTCAATGCTGACGTGGTTTCAAGTTCGGGGTCAGAGTGTCCAAAGCTGTGTTCGGAGTCTGCGAGCGAGACAGCCAACATGTGATAGAGTCTGACAGGTCCCTTTTTGTCTGCTCCCCCCGCCAGTTAGTGGCTGGTTAGTGGGAGGGAGGGTAAGAGGGTTGTGGCAATTAGAACTTTCCTCGTCTGTGTGCAGAAGGCTGAGGAAGAAGTGTTTTTGTACGCAACCGAGTGTTGTGGCTGAGCTTGAGCGGACCTGATAAGATTCGGACTCAGGAATGCCAGGTTAACTTCCTAGCGCGGCGGAAGCTCGCAGGCATTTGACGCGTTTCAAGTCAGGTCTTGCAGCTCGGGGGACACAGCACTCTCAATGGTTGAGTGAGGGATTGCAGCCAAGCAGTGAAGTGTTCCCGGCTCTCGACCCATTTGTTAGGCGATCTTGGTATTGCGCGTTGGCAAAGTCTGCCCTAGTGGCACCGGGCGGGTTTGTGCCCGGCCAAAGCATACGAGAGGGATCCCCTGAACGCTGCCAGAAAAGGTGCATGACACGACATGAAAGAAGATGAGAACAAGAGTCAACCCCAGATGTGCCTCTGAGACTGTTGCGGCCTTCTTTTTGCCTGACTTGCCGGGTGTGGGGTGAACTTCGAAAGATTGGCCCGGGCAGCGGTTCCGGGAGTTTAGGCATCCAATTCATCCACCAGGAAACCACTTGTTTTTGGGGCGCCGATTCTCAAGGAGGGCTTCCTTTTTCTCTTGGTAAGGGCCCAAATGATTTGGCAAATTGCATTGTTCTGCAATTAAGGTGCAGAGCCATGGGTTGAATTTCAATGGAGGCAACCGGCGCTTGCCAGATGCACATCTTTCAGGATTAACTTCAATGGGCCCAAGAAATCCTAAGAAGACTGGAAAAAAACCCGCACACAAGTCTTTTTTGAGGATACCCGTTGGGGCTAAGGAGCGGAGACGAGCCGTCAGGGTCCCTCCCCCACTTTGCGGAAAACCGTCCGAACGCGTCGAACCCGGCAGGACTGGGGTAGCCTCAGCTCGCCTGCGATGCCCACCATCGACCTGCGTTGCAAGCCCGGCGCCCAAGAACAGGGGAACGCGCAGTTCTTTGGGCGCAACCCTTTGAATGATGCCCGTCAATGTGGAGCTGGACTTACCTAAGCTCGTTCACATAATATGCGTCTCCATCTTATTTATTTCAAGATGCACAAGTTATATGGATTTGTGCGAATGACATATTAAAAACATATATGCATATATGTTTGTGTGATTTGATATGTGCATGCGCAAGTCAACGACTAGCTTGGTGCTCATACATAGTTGTGAGCGAGTGGGGGTGTGAAACACACAACGATGTGATTGTACCACTGTGTTTTGTTTTGAGGCCTCCCTTTGCGTTTGCGTGTTTTCAGAGAAATCCACGGGGTATCGATTTAGCGTGCGCCCTGGTGGAGGTGGTTTCAGTGGAGGAAAAACGTGCTTCAAATAAGAATCCTGGTTAAGCTCAGGGGATTTATGCCACGAAAAGAATTTTGACGCTCACAACAAACCACCCTGACCCCCCTCCCACCCCTATACCCTAAGCCCTTAACCGCCCACCCTAAACATCTCCCAAACCCACCCTAGACATACCGACATACCCTGAAGCTGCCCCACCCACCCTACACCTACCTAATCCCACACCTAAGCACGTCGTGTTAAGTGCCATGTTGAGGCTGCATGCCCAGGACCCAACCCCACGGGCAGCCGCCGCTGGGGCATGCTGTGGCCTCAGAAAACTGTTTTTTTTTTTCACGTGCTGCCGGCAGTGTCAAAGGGCATTTGGTTTGGTTGCACCCCTTTTTTCCTTTTGTTTGGCGAGCTCCCAAACAGGGAAGCCCATGCCTTTGTAAGGGGTGAAGTGAAGCCTCAGTCACACATCTGCAATGCTTGCTGGACGTGCGTGGCACCCCTTCCTCGCGCTTGACAATCCGAATCACAATTGACATCGTCATGCTTCCACGCTGTATATGTCCTGCTGCAATCTGCTCCTGCCTTGAGCCAAGCAAAACAAATGCATGAGCGACACCCAAAAGTCATTGACGCTGGGTTCTACCAACCAGGTCATCAAGGTTGTGTAACCCATAGTAGAACCTCCATGAAATCAGATAGTGCAACTACCTTCTAACGTGGCCAATGGGTTGGGTTCTGCTGACATGAGGAAAGGCCCCAGTTGCCCATGACCCTGGTAGAAGAAAAGGGCGCTGACACCATGAGCCGCCGAATGCAGGCAGAACTTGTTGACCCGGACGAGCCAGACAATGCGCTTGGAGAAGTCGCGCCTTAGGAACGTCTCCAATTTTCTCGAAGCCCACCTGTGTTGTGACCGGCAATCTGTGGGGAGGTGGCAGTGCCAAGGTGCTGGCTGCTTGTTCAGCAACAGGACGAAGACACCGGCCGAAGTGTTGTGGCCAAATTTCTTGGCTCAGGCTGCCGGTGCCTTCGTCTTGTTACTCGGAACTTGATCCGCGGCAACCAGATTGACGCTGGTGCGAAGAGCGCCTCCCAGCCTATTCCGAACTTGCCGTGCTCTCGTTCGGCACCGGGCAGTGCCTCCAATTTGGACGCGCTGCCCGGTGCAAAACGAGAGCACAACATGAAGTTCGGCATATTTAGGCTGTGGATATTGAGGCCCCCTGTTAAGAGGCCACAGTTGTGGCTTCGCGCGGACAGGCTCATTGCTTCTTTGCTCACTGTACGATGAGCAGGCCGAGTTTCAAACCTAAACAGGTACATCAAGGGCTTTCCACACCAAGACGTGCGCCAAGCACAGAACGCTGGTGTTGCGCGAACTGCTTCTGCCAGCCCAAGCGGTTCTGCCTCTTCTGTTGTGTTGCGAGAGGCGGGCATGTCCCTGTGCATTCAACACTGCGTCAGCGCGTGATATTCATTCTCCTGCCCGCTCGAAGTCGAAGCCTGCGATGGCACTTTGCCCAAACCCCGGATCCCTGTCAACCTCTCATGGCAACTTCCGATTCAGTCCAACCAGCCGGGGGGCGATGCTCCACCTGATGCGGCTACAACATCTTGCGGCCTGCGTTGCCGCTGCCTTGGAATTGCAGTCTTCGTATAAGCTTGCTTCACAAGCTTCTGGGGAGGCCGCACATACCCGCGAAGAAGACTTGAATAAAGCAGGTTGCTGCAAAAGGCACCTCAAGCTTTCATGGCCGGATGCCCCCCTCTCCCAAAGCTGGGCGCCCGAACCCTCCCAACGCACCTTGACTGGCTTTGTCATGTTGGGATAGGGGAAATGTAGAGCTCAACCAAAAAACCCGGAAGGCTACAAAGTACCTCTTGAAGCGTGTCGCCGCTTCAGGAGAAATTCGGACAATGAACTCACGCATTGCCTCGTAGAAAGAGGACGGCGAATCAAGGTTCATTCCCTTGCCTTGTCGGTTCCCTGCTTGGAATCAGCAACAAGGATACTCGGGGGGGCGCTACCTCACTTTAAGAACGGTGCAGCAATGCTGCTGATGCCCCTCACAGAAACCACAGCAATTGGAGGGCGCCCCTGGAATTTCATTTCTGGCTGCAGCTTTCCTTGGAGGAAACTATCTGCGCGGCTGTGGTTTCTCGTCAGGTTCCTTTGGACCCAGAACGCAACCAATTGTCAAGGTTTCTCAGTTTCGGATAGGTTTCAAGGGATGCCAAAAGGACTGCTCTCCGAATTCAAAAATCCGACATGTTGAGGTGTGAAGCCAAAAGAAACTCGAGCAATCACTTCTGTGGGACCCTACCTTGCTGAACCAGACCCTCCCCATGTTCTCCCCAACCTGTGCGCTTGTTTCTCATTTAGGGCGGTACGAAGCTGACCATCAACCTCAAAAAGCCTACCCCCCAGTCGTCCAGTGGGCCTCTTTATCCCTTTTTTGTTTGGTGGAACCCTCATCCCAGGCAATCAAACTTGTGAAGCCCAACAAGAAATGCGCCCAATTCTCTTCTACTATTTGGGTGGCTGGTTGCAACTGGTGCTTTGTAGGGGTTCTGCCGGCTAAGGACAAGCGCACGTTCTTCCAAGCACTCGCCAACACGCCTGGCCGGGAGGCGACAGCGTAGGGATGCCCAAGCCACCAGGAGTTGGGAGGGGGGAGTGGGGATCAGCCCACCTACGAGGCGAAATCGTCCCGGGGGAAGTGCGGTCTTTTAGATTAATCTCTCCGGAAGATTTGACCTGGAACCTAAAAATCACCTTTTTGAGGAATCCTTTGGGGGACCCTTTTTGCACTCCATGTTAATTGGTGGGGGGGTACTGCATGTCTGTGTGAAAGCTTCGGAGGACTCAGGAACTCACTCAACCAGATTGGAGGCAGCTGACGTGCAGAGTGGGCTGATGGTGGCACCCAGATTGATGTGCGGGTCCCAATTGCTCCTTGGATCTTTTTGAAACGGTCCAAAGCGAGTCGACATGAGTCGACCTTTTGACCTTTGGGTTTTCTATGGTTTTATTCTTTTGCCCATGCTTCGGGGTCCCAAAAGGCGATTAGTGTTCCGGGTGCGAACTCAAGTGAACTAGGTATCGGGGGACAAAGTAGGGCGACCGCGCTGCAAGGCGCACAGCGGGCCACACGTAGCGGGTGCTATGTTTTTGAGGGTTTTTCTACCCCCTTTTTTGGTTGGAAAGGGGCATCCCAAAAGGAAAACCGAGGACATTTGTTGGGTCCAATTACTTTGACCTAGGGACCCAAGGTCGAAGAAGTGGTGGAGTTGTGCACCCGTTCTGGGATGCGCATCTTCGAAGGCTTCCGACACTCGTGTTTGATGGTGTGTTTGATTCTTTGTTGGGGCTCATTTTAAAGGGGAAACCAAAAGGACCACGATGTTTTGGCTCTCCCCGTGTTTTGAGTTAAGTAACATGCTTGAACCCAATGATGCGCCTCCAGCTCGCAGGTTGAGCTCATGGGCAAACTTCACGGGAAAACCCAGAAACCCAATTTCCCTCTGGCTTCTGTGAAGCTCCCCCGAAAGACGAACCCTCGGCCACCCAAACGAAGGCGAAAAGGAGATTCAGACACGGCTAGCTTGCTTGCCACCGAGGTTTTGGCGTAGCTGGGTCGGCACCCCAGTGCTTTGCGGATTTGGACTAGTGACTTGCTAGAGGGTGTACAGTGGAACTGATGTGTAACAGCCTAGTCTCACAGAAGCGGCCCTCCTGTCTGCCCTTAGTGGCTTAAGATCCAGACTCATTGTGCACAAGGGAGGCAATCACTTCCTTTAATTCACAGGTGGCCCAGGGCAACCCTGTGCTTGCTCCATGCCATTTCTCCGTCCTGTCTAAGCGTCAAAGTTGCTCACTGCCCCATCTTCTCTCACTGCTTCTTGGGTCAGCTGCCCTCGCCCAGATGCCCCACACCTGCCGTTCACGTGGCGGTGGGCCTTGCAAATGTGCCGAACCCCCCCCCTCCCCAAATTGTCCTGCCATGTGGGGGGTAGCTCAAATAAAGGAACCACCCGTGTGATTGTTACAAAAAGCGAAGACGGTCTTCGGGCAACCAGGGCTCAATGCGTGTCAAATTCCTCTTGTTTCCCGTGGCCCCACCAACTTCAACAACTCCAGGGGCTCCTGTGCCACCTTTGGGAGGTGGCACGGACCGCTCACCCGGCAGGCTGACCTGAGTTCCAAGAAGCCTGAGGCACGCTTTGCACAAGCACGGCTGGCCACCTGAGGCCTCCAATTTTGCCTTTTTGGTGAACGCCTTGCGGGGTGATGTTTGAAGCCAAAATTGGAAACCTCAAGAGAAAAACCACAGGATGGATAGTTGAGGCTGGGAAACCCAAAAGGGCAACCTTTTTCTGGTCATGTGGCTTCAGCTGAGGGTGTTGTAAGCCTTTTTGGGAATCCTGTTGTGAGGATGCTTGACTCTGGAAGCCCATGGGAACCAGAAATTCCGATGGTTAAAAGGCTAAAATCGCCCCGCTGAGAAGGGAAATGCATCCCGCTGGGAAACTCAAGCGATCGGGACCGCACGCCAGGCGTCGCCGAAGAGGTCGAGGTTGGACGGGCGACGGGGCGAACATTGGACAAGGACTCGTATCCCCCCCTTCCAAGCCAATTCAACCCCACCCAACTCCACCCAACTGCACCCAGCTCAACCCCGTCCACCCATTCCTCCACCAGGTTTGCATGAGATACCTCAAGGCCTTGTTTGCCTCATCCAGTGCCTCATTTGGGGCATAGCCGAGGCTTTACATCCTTCGAAGGATTGGGGGGAGGAGACCTTGTTGAGTAAGTTTTTCTCGGAACACTGGCCTCATTCTTGAAGAAGTGCCGGGGGGAACAGGGCACGCTCCTGTGAGACCTTCCAGAGGCAGCTGGATGTCCAAACTGCCGGCGCTAACTGCCAGTGCCAGTTGGCAGGATCATTTCGTAGGACAGCCGCAGGCCCTGACATGCTTTGTGAAGCGATCGCTCCACGGTTCTGAGAACTTGCATCTACTGTACTTGGGGTGCATTTTGCTTGGATGTTAGGACTTCACCTTTTTGCTACTAATGGGTTTTCCATTAAACCACGAAGAGTTCAACTTCTGGCAGGAAAGAAGAAAGCAACCGAGTGTACGTAGGTATGGTGCCGGGTGGATGTGAGTTCCGCCAGGTGGAACAACTCCTGGCAAGAGAGCTGGGCACAGGAGGGGCGCCGCTTCATTTCCCAGCTTCACTTGGTGGCTCCCAGCTGGCTAAGTCCAGGAAACATCCAATTGCAAGCTACCACGTCGGTTAGACGGGACCCTGCTGTGTTAGCTTTTTTGCAAGGAGCGGAACGGCAGGGGGTGTCAAAAATAATACACCTTTCTCAACCAAGCCAGTCGGCATGGCGAGCTGTTGCCCAAGTGCTTCATGACTGCGATACGCGCCAAAGCCGGTCAAGGGTTCCCGCAACACCGAATGCGGCTGTTCGGGAATCGTGTTTCCGGGGCAAGAGTTTAGCATCTTTCCAAGTGGATGAATGACTTGCTGGCTGTTTCCGCCTCCAGGCCAACGAGGATATGAACTGGCCCCTTGGCGCACGAGTCGAGAGGGGTGCTACACAAACCGCCAAGGCCGTGGGGCTCTTTGCAGGGTGCATGGTTCTTTCAAGACGGTTTGAGTCTGTTTTAGAGAGGGCCTCCCTGCCCGTGCCCTTTCCACGACTTATTTGCCCTTGCGTCAGGGTCTTCATCCCACTTGTTTTGGCTTTGTCCCAAAGTGCGAGCTGGCTTGGAGAGTCAGGGGTCGGTTTTATGACCAGGCCGGTCAGTCGCAGTTTCCTGCCCAACTCAGGGAGAACTTCAGACTGTCCCAAGGGCCCAACAACTCCCAGCAGCGTCAAGAAGCACGACGCCACATGATATTGATGCCAGCCAGATCATGCTTACGTTTTGGTGGCCACCCAGTCATCAGACTATTGGCCCCTGTATCGAGCTCAAAGGCTTTTGCATTTACACGTGTAATTTGGAATCTGAATTGAGGCGCTGCCGTGAGTACTTCTCCGTGCCACTGGGAGGCCGATCTTGCAATGGGAATACCTGCGACGTGTCTAACGGTCACCAGGGTCCAAACACGTGACTTGTCTGCGCAGGCCGTGTGATGATTGAAAGAGAGTTCCAGGAAGTGGCAGGGTTCAGATTGCACCGCGACTTCTGCGGAGGATTTCACACACCCCGGAAATCAGCCAACACAACCGATCCTACAACTGATGAGGGTGTATGGTTTAATCCTAAAGTTGGGAACCCACAAATTGTTGTTTCCAAGTGGTTTTCCAACCCTCAAAAAGGTACCCTCTCAATCCAAGCTCAGGAGGTATCCCCAATTATCGACCCCACAGCTTTCAGTGGTGGTTGTAAAATCAAAACAGAAAAACGGCTATGCCGTTTGGGGGTCCTAAAAACAGATTCTCGGCTCAAACCGTAAACGGCTGTCGCTCAGGCCGCTGCCTGGCGTTTCGGGCGACGAAACTCAACATGCGTGCCAAAAGGTTTTCTTTGGGAGGGAAACCGCGTCCAAAGCTCAGTCCCCGAGTTCATGGAATTAGTCGATTGGTGGGTTTGGAGGATTTTAGTGCCAAACGATGCAGGCACCGGGCGCTCAATGCCAAGCAGCAGCCCATCCATGCAGAAGCACCCCTTGGCCAGAGCCCCAAGTGTCACGGTGCACAGGTTGGTTTGGGGGAAATAGATGGATTTCGCCAGGTTTCAACTTGGTTGAACTCATGTTGCATTCGATTTTGTGAGTAAACAGGACACCTCTGGTCACAGCTTTACCAGCCTGCCCCCCCCCCCACACAAAACAGGGGTGTATTGAAAGCTGGTTCCATTTTCTCTGCGAGGTGCGTGTTGGAGCCTAGCGGCCAGGCCCTGACCTTCCAAGATGCCCTGCGAGCGGTTCACCAAGATGCAAAGGCATAAGCCGCGGAATTCCTGAGCCAAGGCATCAAGAAATGTATGGAGCCCTGTGTTGGTATGACCAGACACGGTTTTTTCCGCTAGGCTTGGTCATTTTGAATGTGGAGCGATGAAGATGCGATTCGAAGCTCAAGACGGAACTTACAATGAACTGGACGAGGGGGAATAGGAAATATGTGGCAAAGGCCAAGTTTGGAGGACGGAGGGAAGGTGGCGTTGCTGATGCCACGGTTCAATCTAAAGAACGCCCACCCCTACGAGTATGGCTCCATTCAAGGACATTCTCATTTGCTTTTCCACGAGTTGGCTTTTAGATTTCCTAAGCTTCAAACTTTGGAGTGCCTCGGGTTCGGCTGGAGTCCGCATCAACACCAAGTCAGCAGGAATTCCAACTGCAAAAGCGCCGCAGAATTTGCGCCAACTGCGTCAGGGTGGCTTTAGTTTCCATGCAGAAGTTGGATTCACCTTGGACCGGCCTAAGAATTGGAAAAGAAAATCACTCTTTGTCCACCTTTCTTGTCTATGTCCTTCAATGTAGGTTGTTCAATGCTTTCATGCTTGCAATTTCATTGTCTTATTCCCGGGTCGAAACCTATAATATTTTTTGATGGGACTTTGACATCGCGAACAGCAATGAAGATTGTCTGGCATTAATTACATTTGAATTTAAGTATACTGGTTTTGGTTGGGCATAATTATCGTTATATTGGCTAACGACATAATTAAATATAATTATATTAATACAATTATTAATATAAATGGTTTTAAAAATATATTAAATTAGAATATTACAAATATATATTGAATATATGTAGAAATATATAGATAGATATATATAAATAGATATAGGTAGATATAGGTATATAAATAGGATTGAATTAATTATATATAATTACCTCTGTAAAAGGATATTACTTCGTTCCGAAAACAAGGCTTAAACTAAATACATAAAAACCAAATTGAAAATTTCGATTTAAAACAAATAATATTTTGTATGTATTATACGAATAAGGAATCGAAGGAATTATATGTTTTTCGATATTTAATTTATTCGTATTTTCTTAAATTAGAAATTTCTTTTGAATTATATTCTTGTGTTGTTACGCCTAGGATTTAAGATTAGAAAGGATATTTAGGATTAATTCCGAAAAATAACACTAAGAAAATTGGAGGATTTACGGGGTTTTTATTATTAGAATATTTATAGGTCTTATCCGGGAATTAGTAGGTAATAGGTTTATAGACTCTAATGAGGATTGTATGCTAGCCTGCAAGGCTAAAACAAGCATAACGTTCTTCAAAATGGTGTGTATAACTTGCTTATATCCATGTTTAATATAATGCAAAATACGATGTCCGAAAATATCTAAATTTTGGTGGCAAAAAGAATATATCTTTCCCGAATTTCCTAGTCGTATAGAAATAATATCTCGAAATGCAGCGTTGGTGAGTAACAAATCCTGAGCCAGAATGGGGCGTGTCCGAAGCTAACCATCTGTTCCTGAGGTAGCAAAAGTGTACAATTGTATTTTTCTTATTATATCTATCAAGAAACGAAAAATAATTTGGTAGATAAATAAATAGGTAAATTATTCTAAGGTAAATATATAGATAAAAACAAATAAAAATAATTAGAAATACATACAATGAAATAGAATTAATTCGGCAAATGAGTAAGTAAGCCGGTAGAGGTAGGTTAATAGAGGTAAATAGTTAAGTTGGTAAACCGATCGGATAGAGGTAAGAAAATATATAAATATAAATAAGTAAATGGGGGTAATTTAAAATAAACAAATAATAATTTGTTGTTAATATCCTCTAGTATTTCGATTTGAAAATTTGGATTGAACTATTTATTATATTATAGATTATCAATCTTTTTATGGAAATAATTATATATAGTTGTTTAATCTAGCTCTAGCTGTTTAAGTTGAGCTGGAGGAAATTTGGACAATTATTTAAATCTTTTCAACAAATAATAATATATATATATAATAATAAATAAATAAAGATAAATAAAAATAGAAATATATATAAAATCAAATAATTAATAACAAATAAAGAATGAAACTCAAAAATATATAACAAATAAAAAACGATAAATAGATTTCGATAAGCAAACAACAACAAATAACCAATAATAAATAAACAATTATAAATAAAGAAAAAGTAAATAAATAAATTAAAATAATCAAAACCAAACAAACATATATATAAACAAACAAAAAACAAACAATAAAGGACAAAAAAATACAAAAACAAAAGGGAAAAGAAAAACCAAAAAAAAAAAACAAAAAAAAATACAAAACAAATAGCAAAGCAACAAAAGAATTCTTTCTATTTTTGTATGTTTCAGATATTTAATTATATTATATTTTTATGTTTTTATTATTTTTTATCTAATATTCTATAATATTCAAATAATATAATTTTAATATATACAAATTCATTATCAATTTCCTTATCAAAAATATAATCAAACCAATTAAAAGACCGGATAACCCCATATACTATATTTTTCCCAAGGATATGAGTTCAAATATCTGGACACAAAGCTTCTGCGAGCCCAATCTCAACATCCAACAGCTTGCCTCACAATGCACCCTGCCTCATGTACTCACAGCTCTGCACTTACACAAGCCTTGTAGACGACCCTTTAGACATCCGAGAAGTGTGAGTGAGTGTGAGTATGAATGCGAGCGAATGAGTGACAAAATGCTGCCCCTGCCACACAAACATACACCCAGACGCACAGAATGCTGCGCCTGCCACGACTTCGGCAATGGCATCTCCAAAGTGCCGCGCCTGCCACGATTTCGCACGCCCCCCGCCGAGCGCGCAACGCCATCCTGTCCTTTTAGACAGCTGCCAAATGCTACCCCTGCCACACAAACGCACACCCAAATGCACAGAATGCTGCGCCTGCCCTGCCACACAAACATGTATCCAGATGCACAGAATGCTGCGCCTGCCACGACTTCGGCAATGGCATCTTTACACCCAGATACACAGAACGCAGCGCCTGCCACGACAGAGGCAACGGCATCGCCAAAGTGCTACGCCTACCACGATTTCGCACGCCCCCCGCCGCGCGCGCGACAACATCCTATCCCTCTAGACAGCTGCCGAATGCTACCCCTGCCACACAAACACACACCCAGATGCACAGAATGCTGCGCCTACCACGACTTCGGCAACGGCATCGCTAGACACAAACACACACCCAGATGCACAGAATGCTGCGCCTACCACGACTTCGGCAACGGCATCGCCAAAGTGCTACGCCTGCCACGATTTCGCACACCCCCCGCCGTGCGCGCGCCAACATCCTATCCCTCTAGACAGCTGCCGAATGCTACCCCTGCCACACAAACACACACCCAGATGCTGCGCCTGCCACGACTTCGGCAACGGCATCGTCAAAGTGCTATGCCTGTCACGATTTCGTATACCCCCCGCCGCGCGCACGACAACATCCTATCCCTCTAGACAGCTGCCATGAGTCAGCGAGTGTGAGTGAGTAAGTGAATAAGAGTGAGTGAATGAGAGTGAGTATGAGTGAGTAAGTATGAACGAGCGTAAATGAGTGAGTGAGTAAGTGTGAATAAGAGTGAATGAGTATAAGTGAGTGTGAATGACTGAGTATGAGTAAGTGAGAATAAGTGTGAATAAGTGAATGTGAGAGTGAGTGAGTATAAATAAGTGTGAGTGAATAAGTATAAATAAATGAGTATAAGTGAGCGTAAATAAATGTGAGTAAGACAGTAATAAGGAGGGAGAGCGGGAAGAAGAGGAAAAGGAGACGTAAGACGCGGACGACTAGCGGTAAAAGTAAGAACCCCATACAAAGATATGGAGAATTATATTCAATTTAATTAATTATTAATATCTATAATCTATAAATACAAAATATATATTTATATAATAATAAAATAAAATCCAAATAATATTTCATTATTTATAAATAATTAAACCAATATTTGTTATAATTCTATAAAAATTAAATTATTTCAAAATAAATATATTTAATATAATATATTTTAAAATTATAATTTTTAAATAAATCAACCATATATATTTAAATTATATTCATTTCTAATTTATAATATATACCAAAACATATTTCAAATTATTAATTTAAAATTTATCGAATATCAATTCTAAATTTAAATAATAAAACCCCGATAAAATAAATTATATATAATCGATTTTAAATTTAAAATCAAACACCATAACACGTTCAAATTCGCCTTAGCTAACGATATTTGTTACTAAAATTCAAAGGTCCTACTAAATAATGTTATTTTCCCATTGATGCCTTCGCAAAATCTAACTTAGCATAGAAAACAATATAGACGAAGATGTAATGTTTGAATTCCACCCAAGCCCCCGGCTAGTCAAACAAACGATGTTTGTTTTGAAAACCTTTTCCTCCCAGGGGATATGTGTATAATCATATACCATAAATATAGGTAATTTAGGATTAAGGGGGATGGGTGAGGGAGTGACTATGATCAAAGAGGATGATGCTGGCGATCTTTGGGTCGTCGTCTCATGGGAGGGATGATCTTTGAAGAATATTTGTCGGATCTCCTCCTCAATCTAAATCCAATAAGTTTCTAAGTTATTTGCCCACAGGATGACTATGTACATTCGATTGACATCTGAATTCGGGTCTTTCCGACGCCGTGGCCTCAGTCATCCTGGCAACGTGGAGTGGCCGAGCAACGCTGGCAGGCACTCCGAATCAAACTCCGGACAAAAAACGCGCCAGCCGCCCCCTGGCCTTCTCTCGGAGAAGGGAGGCCTCAAACTCAAATAGCACCAGTTCTTCAAAACGCACAAAGACACACCCAAATGCTCGAGGTTCATCCGGTTGCCATCCAGTTCGCCCAGCGGACTGAGCCGCGGCCTTCAGCAACTTTCAATAGGCTCCCAGCTAACTCTGCGTCGCTGTAGTGCTTGCGCCTGCCAGGATTTGGACTCGCAAACGGGCGTCAATCCCAATATGGCAGCTTGGCCCTACCCAAGCGCCAATGCCAAGGCAGCTAGTCTGGATTTGCTTGGAGCAACTCACAATGCCGACGCTTGCAGCCTACAATCCAGGATCATCTCGCACCATGCACGCTGGTTTTGGCTTTGCACGTTGCCAAACACTCGGCCGCGGCTGGCTCAGTCTGGCAAGCATAGTGGTCCGATGCTGAGGCAGTTGGAGTCGGACATGCCGCATTGGATGTACTTGCCTTGGCAACGCTTAACTGTTCTGTCAGGCCTTTGAATATACTGGATGAGGCCTGGCCGTTCCAGGCCCACAACTTCTTGGGCACATGTTCTCGTTTGAGACGCATCTGCACTCTCAGCCACTCACTGAGAGCGAAACATCTGCCAACCATTGCAGTCAAGGCACTGTTGGTTGTCCGCGTGTACTTGCTATTGCAGGCCGTCACCTCCTGACACAATGGAAGGGACGTACAGAACAAAGTGTTCGCTTCTGGCTCGCGGCAACTTCCTTTTTCTGGTGCAATGCAAGCTACTCATGCTGTAACATGCTGCAAAGCCCATGCCAAGTCTCTAGCTTAATCACTGCAACGCACAATGACTCTCCCCACTTGACACAACCCGGCCTGCTGGCTGCATTGGTACTTGACGGACGACGTGTCCTGGGTGATCGACATAGCCCGCTATGTCTATTCAATATGAGCTCGAACGCACAAAGTCAGACATACTTGTGCCACGAAAACCTACGATAGCTCTCTGCACGTCAGCGAAGCAAGCAGCCTTGTCGTTCTTGTCCTCAGGTTCTCCGGTCCTTGCCAGCTCGCTTAGATGGCTCTGATTTTCAACAGGGACCCACCTCCCAAGTGGTTGACAGACACGAATCCGGTGAATCCTAATCTGTATATTTAACAAGTTCTGCCAAAGCATGTTTTGGGTGACACCACGCCGCAAACGCCTGGTCAAATTTTCCGGACGCGAGCTCAAGGACACAGCTGGCAACTTGGACCCGCCATGCTGCCGAGAATCAAAGTTCCCCTGCAGGCAGCCATGGGGTTTCCCTCCACAATTATCTCTCGGAGGGCGGCGACCATATCTCCCCCGCAAGCCTGGACAGGGAGGATCCACACGAGAAAGCAGGCGACCCAATGACCCCCCCTTTCACTTGTTGAATTCAGCCTTCTGCTGCAGAGTCTTGATAATCACGAAGCTGAACAGCCTGTCTGTGTCAACCTCAGCGAGCCCGGGGGAATGTAAGGCATAAACCTCAGTTGCTAGATAAAAATCGGCTTATTGGATTTTGCAACCCAGTGCTGACCAAGCTCAAGTCAAGACTGCTCGCGTCGTGTTTAGCCCTTTCACAACAGCGTTCGCAATATCTTCAGCTTGAAGGCATTCAATGGTCTGTATTCCAAGCCACAACATTGTTTGATATGCTGCACAAATCAAAGCACATTCGTCCAAACAACCGGCTGTGGCTTGTCTGCTCGCAATTTCAGTGCCCGGGCATGGGCATTCAAGTACATGCAGCTGTTTTGGGTTGTCTCATCGGTTTACATCCTGTGCAAATGCCTCTTTTCAGCGCAGTAGTAAACCAACTACAGTTTGGCAGCTCCAGCTTGAAAGTCGACATGCAGCGGACGGAGCAAGCACGTCTAGTTGGGGCATCGGTTTTCGGTTCTCCTCATTGGTTTACAAAGCGTCATGATGGTCTGCGGCATGACCGATGACTTAGCGACGCAGAAGCGGTTTCAGAGCTTCCCAGTCTGCCAACCTTGACAATGTGCTTTTCCAGATCAATGTCACGTCGGCAATGTCTGATTGACCGCAGCATGCCAACACACCACATGTCATCATTCGGCAGTTTGTTTTTCTGCAATATGTCCACACTGCGAAGCAAACACGCGTACACATTCAAGCATAATGACAAACCTGGCTCTAGAAACCAAGGCACTGCCACAGGAGACCATATGAAACCTTCGCTGGCCGCAGACCAGTCTTTGTTGCCAGCTTCTGCCGCCAAAAAGACCCCGTCCACCTTTGTCACCTCAGATCCGGATCCACGGCTTGAACCCCAGGCTTTCGTGCAACTTGATTGCGGATGGTCAGGGATCTTTTCCTTTCCCCTGGAGTAGCAAGGGGAAAATCACAAGGCGTGGAGTGATCTATTGCTTCGGAAAAAAATGGCCGCCTTCGTCGCCCGGCGGATTCCCATGAGCATTGCGTCGCCCATAACCAGGCGAGGCCCCATGGATTCACACCCACGAGCGAGTCGAGCTCGGATTTCTGGAACGAAGACATCGGTGGCCGTTGAGGGCGATGAGAAGCAAGAGGTCAAAGTAAAGGCTTGTGCTGTTCTTGCGCTGTCATGTGCGGAGGCAGTATGCAAGCTACGAACATATGAAACAAGATTGGGCCCTATGAAAGGCAAGCACTTATGTGTGGTATGTAGGGGAACCCATTTGGGGGTTATTTGTGTTGCGACCCCTATATTTTTGGAAAACGAAGGAACCCGCATACTCCTCAAACGCGGTGCAGAGATTGACAACTCTGAAGCAAGGCCTGCTGCTTGCATTCCCCTCCTGTGAGATCCTGTGAAGACATAACCTAACACTTACCCAGCAATGTTAACCAAACAAACCAATTCAATCGGAGCGATCCCAAGCTGGATAGAGCAAGGGCTACATCACGTTTGTTGCTGGCCTTGATCGTGACCCTAAAGACAGGTAATACGTCCAATATCATAGTCAAAAAATGGGGTGTCTGCTTTCAGTGGTTCAGTTCAGCTTTTGTACATCTAACTTCCAATAGTCTTCCCCTTGTCTTCCAATGTCTTCCGATGGCGCCTTCCCCCAAAAAAAGTCGGCTACGATGTCTAGCATTCCGTGTGTCGGACTTGCTTGCAAGGTTGCCATGCGGTTGTCCGTTGGTCATCGGGTGTGTCAGTCAGGTCGGCAGTGTTTGTGCTGGAGACACATGTCTCTGATGGAAGGGTTTACTGGGCGATCGATAGTGTTTCCTGCTTCTTGGTTTACAGTGCTTTTGCGCAGTTCTACAACTTGAGGGATGTACCTTTGCATGGCCAAGAGTGCTTGTCTTTCTCCTCCTCCCACTTGATAGGAAATGCAAACTGGGGCTGAACACACACCATCATCCAGGATTGTAAATTTGCCTGCCATCTAGGAAAAAAACAAGCAAAAGCAGCAAACAATAGCTCAACTTGCTAGATCGTCGGTGACATCACCGTAAAGCGACTTGCCGCAGCCATGGCACTTGAAGCCTATCGCTGCTATTTGTACACAGTGCACCACCTCCGCTGCAACATGCTCAAACACCGCTCAAGCCTAGCTGGAAACAAAAGGGCCTTCTGCGCCTTCGCCATTCACAGGATCCGAATTAGCCTGTCTCACAGCCCTGCCTGCGGAATTGAAGAATATCTTGTCTACCTGCGACGTGCCCTCTTTGAACTCGCACTGGATGGACCTCCAAAGCTAAACGATGGCAAAACCAACAGAGGCGAAACAGTGGTGGTACAAACGTAGCACATCAAACACGTGGCAGCACCTCCAACGCTCTGTGCACTCTTTGCAGATGGGAACTCCAGCCGGCCAATGAGCTGATCAATGCCGTCCACCAAGCAATTCAATGCGGAAACTGAAACATGATGCTCTCCTGTCTTAAAGGAACACCGCCATACACATCCACACAAGGGGAAATTCTCTGAATGAACGCAGCTGAGGCAGTGGCAGAGTGCCTTAGCTATGCGACCACGGCATTGGCGCGAAACAACTTGCCTCTCTGCTTCGTTCGAATTCCCCAAATTCTATTTGATGCTGTCAAGAAGAACAGCTTACCCGATTTTGCAAGCTGGCAAAGCGAGGGAGGCAATCAAGTGCATGCGTTATTGTTGCCTGAAGGGTCCTGGGCAAAGTTGCCAAGGGACTGTGCTCCTGTTTCGAGCGGTAGATGGCCGCACTGGACTCATTGCCGTCGCTGGCAAAGAATGCCGGGTTTGTGTCGTTGTCAAGGCTCACATCCTCAGTGCAACACCATGTCACATCCCAATCAACCGTGCAAAGAAAAGTCAAATCATAATCAAAGTTTTCACTCAAACAAAACGCATCTATGCTGCTGCGTGACGCTTTCTTCCCCAGTGCCAGTCTCAATCCACTGGCAGTTTGTCAGTGGTAACGGGGCAGCTGCGGCCAATGGAATCCTCAGCAAGCGGCTTTCATGAAGTTCAAAGATAAAACAAATTAGCGATGATACCGGCGAAGAGGGGATGTGTGAGGACTGCCTGTGTGAGAACACCATGCCTGAATATTGCCCGACAAACACGCCTGCTTCCCCGGCCTGCCTGCTTGTTTGTTTGTCTGGAAAAAAGACCACTTACAAGAAAGTTTCCCTTTCCACGCATAGGCGTGCAGAAGCATGGAAGCTCCCCCTTTTTCCCCTTTGACTTGCGTAGTGCTGTGGCTACAGAGACATGCCCCGGCCGTAACGTGAGCACCCCTCAATCTCAGGTGTCAGAGGCACCTCTACTCGCAAAACCCGATGATTGACCCAAAGAGCCACGACCATCAGCCGGTGACATTGCCACCTAGCGAGGTAAGGTAAGAACGACTGTATTAGAAGCGGCGGTCATCAGCCATTGCACAAAAATAGGTGAACAAGTCCCTATTACAGTCAAGGCCAACTTGCACGCGACCTCGCGGCATGCGCTAGCCGGGTCTCCTGAGACACAAGTAAGTGATCAAGGCCCCAAAGCATTCAAAACTTCCAAGCATGGAAACCATCCATTTGCTCCCACCTCCCAACTCATGCAGGACCATGTCGAGAGCGTGAAACGGGCAGGGCTGGCACGTGCCAAACCGTTCCAGGACCACAACATCTAACATCCCAAAGAAATTGCATGGCGCGTGGCTTTGCAGCCAGTATCCACAACAAACAAAGAAAAATACCAGGTATACTCCAGCAGAGCTGGAGGGCGGAAGATTCTAGAAAGGACGTGTGCTTATAGGAAGAGAAACAAAACATCCCACGCCCCATGCCTGCGCACCTTTTCGGTCGAGTTGGCTGCCGCAGTCGAGTTGGCAGGTGGAGTGTCCTTTGCTTTCCTTATTTCTTTCTTTCTTTGCTTATTTCTTTCTTTCTTTCTTTCTGTGTTTCTTTCTGAGCGTGTTTCTTCCCTTCTTTCTTTCGACCTGTCTTTCTTCTTTCTCTCTTTCCTTCTTTGTCTCTTCTGCGCCCGTCACGCCATGGGCACGCAACAGTTCGTGCGTCCACTCCAATGCGAACCACGAACCGCGCGACTCACCTGCCCAAAGTGCTGCGCCCATCACGAATTCTGATGCATGAGAACAACTTGATGCGCCTGTCACGAGATCTGCACCTCAGGTTGCCAAAGTGCTGCGCCTGCCACACATTCAAACCTAGCAAAAACCGTGCCATTGGGCAACTTTCCGAACCTGTGGCGAACCTGCGGCGAAAAACAGAGCTACCCTTCGCGTGTTTCGCATGTGGGTAACTGCGCTTTTCGTATTACGGAAGTTTTCTAAAGTTGTGAAACTCCAAAGCCGCTTCACCAAAGACAATAGCGGAAGCGGCCACTGAAAAAGCCAACGGAAGACGCCCTCTCTTTGGAATTCCAGTTGCCCCTTGGCGGCGCAAGGTTTTTCCATCCACGGATCTCTACCCTGTCGCGGACGCTGGTTTCCTGATTGGGTTGACATTGGTCCTCTTGTTTGGCGCCAAATGGGAGGATCAATGTCAACTTCGTCAAGAGAACCAGCGTCCACGACTGCGATGTGAAATTCGCAATGAACTGTAGCTTAATCTCAACAGTTGGGGCCTCGCAAAACCAAGCGAGACACGGCATGGCGACTTGCCATGCGAGCCTGAAGCCTGCAGAGATGCAGAGAACATGCTGCGCGCGCAAAGCGCTGACGCTCAGGGAACCGACCACATTCTTAGCAAATCCCGCGATGGGCTGCAGATGCAGAACCATGATTGCGAGCTCGAAGGAAGAGGCTCAACGAATTGATGCCAGCACCGTTGCTACCCGAGGGCCATACTGGGCTTGGTGGGCTGGCTGAGAGAAGGCAGCCACATTGAAGGAAGTATCCACTCCGGCCACCGCGCTTCGCGTGTGAGAGCGCTGACAACGCAACGCGTCGAACGGGTGGCCTTGATACCAGCTTTTAACACTATGGCCACCAGCTTCATCATGATGGATGTCCAAGCAAAAGGCTTCAGATTGGATCGTCGTTCCATAGTAGTTTCCGGAAGAGTTGGATAGGCTCCTAGCCCTGTCGCCTGCGCTATCTGAGCATTCTGAGCCCCAACGGGCCAAAAACAGATATCCCCCAAACCTCATCTGCTCTTTTGGATGGTTGGATGGTTTCAAAAGGAAACCGAAAGGAAACCACGTAATTTTGAGAAAGACCCACACCTTTCACGTTCAACGAACTTTCCACAGTTTGGTGCAGCTGGGCCACAGCAGAGCTGCCAGTGGAGTTCTCAAACACCTGCGGCGAGCGTTGGCTGCTTACACCCCAAAATAGATCAAACTCGTATATTGAATCAAGGGCCAGGAAGTAACAACGCGTGCACAGCAACATCTAATTGGGACACATCACGATTACAACGTCCCCAAAATATACCTGACAATCACAATTCAATGTAACTACTCCAAGCAAAAGCAGTAGCAGCAGCAGCAGCAGCAGCAGCAGCAGCAGCAGCAGCAGCAATAGAGGAAACGGGCTAACAACGGGCAGAAGTTTTGTAGTAGTCTCAACATGGCCCCTGTCTTCAGGGTCGCACACGCCCGGCTTCAGAAACTCCTTGCATGGGAATGGTCATGTCAGCTAGCAACTGTTCTGCGTGCGGTGGCAGGCAGCGTTCGAAATGAACTTTGCCCAAATGAATTGGGAGATTGCAACACTTGAATTAGTGATGGTAACTTAGTTAAAGTCTTTCTGTGGATGGACAAAGTCCATTCCGCACCACTTAAGAAACGCTGGTTTCTGATGAGTCTCCTGTAAATACCAACAACAATGGTTCTCATTGTGTCAAAGTGGTGCGAAATGGATTTCGTAACCATGCACAGTAGTGTTGTGAGTACTATTCATCGACCGCCAATAGGATATTGGTGGCTCAACAACATTGGGGATTCCGTGTGTTGGGACTCCCTAGGTTTCCCAACCAATCATTTGTTTGCGGGGCAAAACCAGTCATTCTTTGAGAAACACCAAACAACTTGTCCAGAACAACTAATAATTTTGAGGGAAACGGGAAACCCATCAATTTTGGGAGAACATCTCAGGCCATTGATTAACCACATGTGACTTCCATTTGCTTAAGCCCCCAGGAAACGGTTTCCCTTCGAAAACACAACAAGGGAAACAAATAATCTTCATTGCAGCGAATGTCCAGTAGTGAAATTTGGTTTCCGTTCAACAAAAGCAACAAGGTGTTTTTTCAGCAGCTGGAATTAGGTTTCCCAACTAATCATTTGTTCGCGGGGGTCCAGCAATGCAATCGATTCCCTTCAAACACATAATAAGGGAAAGAAACAATCTTGTTTCATCAAATCTCCAGTAGTGAAAGTTGGTTTCCCTTCAAAAAAACAATTCCAACCAGGGATTCTTTTGGTTCAGCAGCTGCAAGGTGATGCAACCTGGTAATTTGCGTCGGGACCCCTTGCCACTTGAAAAATCCGCGCCTCATGGCCCTGGAAGTGCCATGGCTGAGCCAAAGCTCGCGGATCGCTCGTGTCGCGACGTGTTTTGGGGGCCGTGGCTCGGCGGAGTTTTCTGGGCAGCGTGCCAGTTCTTTGGGCAGCGTGTTTTGAGCAGCCTCAAGAATTGGACCCTCGAAGGCACACAAATGAAGATTGCAGAGCACTTTGCCCCAGTATTCCACCTGCAAAGGAGGAACATTTGGAAAGGGCGTGTTTCTCTTTGCATGCTTAGGCAGTTCTGAACGGCACAGGGCCAACACAAGACAGTGCCCAATTCGTACTAAATCAATCCCAATCCAGTTACCAAACTGCACTTAGTAAACCACTTCTTCAGCAGGCCCGATTCTGATCTCGTTTGACACCCCAGTTTGCTCCCGGGGGCTTCAGCAATCACTGCCCCACGCTGATATTAGCATGACAGGAGTTGAAATTCAACGTCCATGATCCCAGGGCTAGCGCGTCTTCTCGCAGCTGCTCCGTTGACGGCATTTCCAGGCGGGCAACATGGACACTCAGAACGCTAGTCAACCTTCATCTCAGCACATGTCATTGAAACCTCATTGACCAAATGCCAACCTGCGGTGACTGGGTGCCAGCGCAAACATGCGCAAACTATACATTGATTCAAGCATATGCAGCGAGGCGGGCTGTGTTGCAGGTTGGTTTTGTCCATTCACCAAGGCAAACACACACACACAGACACACCGACACACAGCAGACACACAGAAGACACACAGAAGACACACAGAAGACACACAGAAGACACACAGAAGACACACAGACGACACACAGACGACACACAGACGACACACAGACGACACACAGACGACACACAGACGACACACAGACGACACACAGACGACACACAGACGACACACAGACGACACACAGACGACACACAGACGACACACAGACGACACACAGACGACACACAGACGACACACAGACGACACACAGACGACACACAGACGACACACAGACGACACACAGACGACACACAGACGACACACAGACGACACACAGACGACACACAGACGACACACAGACGACACACAGACGACACACAGACGACACACAGACGACACACAGACGACACACAGACGACACACAGACGACACACAGACGACACACAGACGACACACAGACGACACACAGACGACACACAGACGACACACAGACGACACACAGACGACACACAGACGACACACAGACGACACACAGACGACACACAGACGACGCACAGA